CTTAAATAGAGTACCATCTCCTCACAGTCAACGTCCAAAATCACATCATCTTCCCTGCAAAAGACATTTCCCCTTTTTTCTAAATTTCCTATGGCTATCATAGACCAAGTAGATAGTATCCTTTCTGATTCCAAGGTCTCCCTCGATTCTGCTAGCCCAAGGAGTAAACCCTGAGAATATTCCTTTGTAATGAAGTTTAGACCTGTTCTACCTTTTTCACATGCACCACTAAAGTCCCTGATACTCACCTGTGACATCTGTTTCTTATTTAAATTTCTTAGGTGATTTTTGTCATATCACTCTTTTATTCAAAACCAGAAGAGATCCCCACATCTGTGGACTCAAATAATCCTAAACCAAGAGATTTGTTATGACTTATGTCTAGAACCGCCCTCCCCTTTAGCCCCATGTGCTCATAGGTGGAGCCTTTGAGAGGTAGATGGATGAGGGTATGCTTTGGTACTAGGTATGAGGATTAAGGGAGTACGATAACTAAACTAGTTTAGCATAGTTCTGGGTGCAGATAATAGAAACCTATCCTGGTGTGATGACACCAACCATAAGGCTTGCAACCCGGGGACAATACAAAGGGATAAAGAAGGTAGGCAGTGGCTGCCACTGCTGCTCCATGCCTTACAATGCTACTCTGCCATGCTGCCCTTCCTTGGATTTGGCTATGGACGGAAACCTCTACAAAAATAAACCTTTCTTCCTTTGAGTGTCAGGTATTTTGTCTCAACAATTAAGACAGTGTCTTGGTTACTTTTTACTCATTGCTGAGACAAAATACTTCAAGCCCAAGTTGGGAAAGGAAAGGTTTATTTCTTACAGTTTTTGGAGGTTTCAGTTCACACTCAGTTGGCTCCAAGGCAGGCGGGCATGGCATTAATGCTTGACTTTTTATTTAGAATAAATAAAAAGTCAAGCATTAATGACATGAAAATTCTCCCACAGCTGCATAATAAATTGTTATCTCTGAACATGGCTTTCTTAAACAAAGAAACACCTACTATCTTACAGAAAATATTAAAATTTCTTCAGCAGATGGGCTTTTGGCTTTAATGTTGTCAGAGATCTTACTATGGCCCATGAGGCAGAAAGTACATGCCAACTACATTGTCTGTAACTGCAGATTAATTCATTGATCCCCCCCACCCCCGACAAATGTAAATTGAGTTTTGAATTTTCTAAAATTTTACTTTTCTTGATTTTTTGAGGTGACTGTTGCTAAAAGAAGTTTATATAAACCATAAAAAGTCACCAAGTGATACAGTATAAAAACAGATTTAGACCATACAAGTGACCAATGCTCTTTTGTAAAGGCAGACTATTCTTCACGTGCTTCATCCTGAGCACGGCTGCTCTGTCTCTCCTCTCCATCTATCTAGTTTCTGAGTTCCCACATTTCTTGCTAAGTGGGAGACATAGAACTTCATGTACATTGTGGGCACAAATGTCTGGCTTACACCAAAGGGTTCATAGAGACTCTGGCATTTCTGCCATTAGCCAAGACCTGAAACTTAACCACTTGAAGCATACATGTAGTTAGTTATAAAACCAAGCATCATGCACGCTGTCCTAGCAGGGAAATGTGAGTTGAGTTGTGCATAGAAAAGGTGGGGGGTAGGAACCAGCTACTGTCATTCTTTAGATTTAAATACATTATAAAGCAAGGACTCTGCTGCTGCAAGACTAGATGAAGACTATGGCAGAAGATGAAAGAAAGAAAAGGATCCTTATGAAATCCATCCCATCTTCCTTCAGTGCCACTAGAGAACAGAAGTTCATTTTAAAATGAAAAAATATGGGACAAACACTAAACTGGATGGGCTGCTGGATACCAGGCATACACTGAGACTGCCACAGATGCTTAGTGAACTCTCAAATGCATGCCTTTCCTCAGTCTCATCCTGGAAGCCAGACTTCCTCCTGTACATTAATGCAATCCCCATTGTTCATTCAACATTTGACTCCTGCCTCATCTCTAATACCAGCATCCCTGGCTCCATGGAGCCACAGCGACTGTGTACCTTCTGTACACGCCTGAGCATGTTTTTAATGCCACCAGTTATATCATACAACCTTACAAAGGTGAATGATCAACTGATTGAGGAGGAAAATTAAAGAAAATAAATGTTTTAAAAAAGAAGGAGAAATGACAGAAATAAAGGAAAAGTGTTGGGTTGAGCTAGAAAAAATGACAGGAAATAACATTTTCCTTTGTCAGTACTATATACATTGGTTTGACATCTAAGCAATTTGTTTGGTTTTCTTTTTGCATAAAAGTGAAGGGCAACAGAAATAACAGCTACTTAAGAACAGGGATAAGGATTGATATTTTAATTCTTGTTCCATGTCTGTAAAAACATGTGTGGGAAATTTAATTTAACTTCCCTTCCACTTTCTTCAGCTTCTAACTCTCTACAAACCCCAGAAGTCTAAGGTTGAATTTTAGCAGTTTCCCAGAGTCATTTGGGGAAATGGAAGAGATGGGCGTAAGTGAATGCTAGCGGACAATTTCAAAAGCACAAATACATTGGCAAGTGTCTTCTGGTTGTCTAACAGATGCACCATAGACAATGCATTTAGTCTTGTAGCTCACCCCTGGTAAGAAACCAAACACTCCTATTTTGATATCAAAGCCATTCGATTCAATACTTCTCTGTGTTTATCTAAATTTTGTTATTAATACTGTTTGGTTAGATCAGAAAAAAGAGGATGGAATTTTTTAAAATTCTGCTTTTCTGTTTTCCTTTTACTGTGGGACTTAAAGGAGACAACACAGGACAGAGCAGCACTCCTTCAGATATAGTTCAAACTTGGATCGTAAGTTAAAATAAGTATATGGTGTGCAAGTTTGCATCTTGTAGGAGTTCTGTACTACAAATGCTTGCATATTTTGGCTTCGCTAACAACAACTGGCCTGAATTGAATCCATATGACAGACTACAAAAAATCCTCTTATAACATCTGTTTGTGCTATGACTCTGCTTTGAACAATTGTCATTTCTTTTGTCTATCTACGTAATTAGTTCTAAATTCTATAATGAAGCCATCAAGCCCTGTCAAGTCCTCTCTCACAACTTTGCTCAGCTCTTCCTTCCTTCCGAGAGTCCCTCCCACATTATTAACCATCAAGACTAAAACTGGACCATTCTTACATTCTCCTAACTCTGCCTACATTGACTACCTTCCACAGCAGTGTTGCCCAAACAGTACTCCTGCAACACTTCTTTGCACACTCTATTCCTTTGTTTGAAATAAGAACCAAAAGTAAACTACCCTGCAGTGGTGACCTATCTGCAAGAACAAAAGCCAAATGATTTAGCCTCACAGTTAAGACTTTTTGTAACCTGAATCTAATCAGTATTCCCAGGTAACTGGTTCCCAGGTAACCAACTTCTCTGTACAATCAACACACAGGTGCACACACCTACTCTTTTCTGCTTCTAGGACTTTACACAGGCTCTCCCCTTCCAGCTGCCCTCAGTACTATCCTCCTTTACCTATTCAAGCTCTACTTGATTTCCAAAGACAAATCCAGCACTATTCGCTTTCATAGCCTATGAAAGGTAGAAATGTTCTTTTTGGTCTCTCAGTATAAACTAGTGCTTTACAAAACCCACTTAGTATTTCTTGATGTGTCACACTGTGAGCTAGTTTGGTCTGTCTGTTTTACTAGGCTGCACAAAAGTTACCCTGTCTCAAAATACATGAAAATGAATAGATCCAAGTTTAAAATATTAAAACAAACACACTTCTCACACATCTCATTTTTTCAATGTAAAAGACACTTCCCATGTCTATGCAGTTAGGAAATGATCACCCATGCTCACAGCAGAATTATCTTCAATAAGCAATTAGGAGAAACAATCCAGGAGTTCACCAGATTAATGAATAAACAAAATGCAGTACGTAAACACAACAGAATATTACCCAGCCTTAAAAAATGAAGTTCTGATACATATTGGTTCCAACATCATAAGCCATGAAGACATTAAATTAAGCAAAACAAACCATTTACCAACGGACAAATACCATACCATTCTGCTTATGAGATATATAGAGTAGAAAAATTCATAGACTGAAAGTAAGTGGTGGTTACCTGGGTCTGGGAGAAGGTCACAAGAGCTGTTTTTTAATGGGTACTGAGTTTCACTTTTACATGATAAAAAAATTCTGGATACCGCTGAACAATATAAATGTACTTAAAATTACTGAATTGTACACTTAAAAGTGTTTAAGATGGTAAAGTACATGCCATGTGATTTTTAACTAAATTTTAGAAAAGGAATGTTGGGTCTGGCATTAAATCATCTAGATTCAAATATGGCAAAATGCCAGAGAGGGACTTGGCTCATAATAGGTAAATATTAACAGGTAATTTTAAATAAACATATTAATTAGAATTATACCAAGTCAAAATGCACGTCTGTCAGGAGTTATATGTGCCTTTTGGATTGTGAAATGAGAAGGTAGTTAAAAGTGATTACTTCTGATAATAAAAACTTTTTGTATTCACTTTTCAAATCTGAAAACTATCTTTCAGCATTTAAATGTATTCGTGTGTATATAAACATACACATTTTCCCTTAAATGATCAATAATCCATTCCATACATACGCCTATTTATAATGATCTTTCTTTCATTGCTGACTTCAATAATTACTCGCAGAGTCCTATACTGACTGCAGTGTGATGACCGCTTTATTTCCTTCCTAACATACCTGCTCACGATGGTGCCTGATTTTAATAGCTGCAGCAGCAATAAGGAGAGATAAGAGGAAGAAATAAAATGAAACAGAAAAAGTAAACCAATGGAAAATAAGACCTCGCCTGTGCACTTCTGGTGACAAGCAAGAAGTAGGAGGGATCGCATTCTTAGCTCTCAAGGGCAAGCTCATCAGTCATTGGGATAAAAACGGGTATTCATTTAGCAAAAAGAAATCCAAAGGAAAACACAAGCCCCAAGAGCAGGTAGGATTTATAAACTGTCTAACCTGCATAGGATTAATCTTCACTGAGCGTTCAAAGCACTCCACACATTCTTGAAACTCCTTGTTCCGAAGATGAAGGAGGGCTTTGGAGCGCTGGGCCCTGGCACTGCGGTGCTTGGACAACTCCCAGGCTTTGTCATAGCAGGAGTGATCTCGGAGCACATCTCCAAGCAAGCAGTATAAACTTGGTGTTTCTTTTTTCTCCAGCTCTTGCCTAAGAATTTCTTCTGCCTAGAAACAACAACAAAAATAATAAAAGTACTTAATGTTATCAACTATTTTTTGTCACATATACATCTTGTATCCCAACTGATTCAACTTTTTATTTTTGACATTTGTGATTACTTGCTTATTTCGTGTGGCTAGGACACAGATTAGCCACAAACAGACCCCAAAGGAAATAAATATGGTACATGTAAAAGAAACAAAGAGGAAGAGATGAATCCTGCTTTCCCAGTCTTCTAGAATCCCCAAGGAAAGGATTTCAGGCAGACCCATGCAGCTCTCTGGTTTTCTGTTCTGGCTGTCATCATCGTGACCACGTTTTAAAGCAGCACCTTTAATTCACCTCTACCAAACAGCAGTGAAAAGGATAGTTCATTCCTTGTTTTGCTGTTGTGGTTTATTTTTGTTTTTGTGTTTTTGTTGTTGTTACTGTTATGGTTAGGGAACCTGGGCCTCCCAGGCTGAGAAATTTATAAAAGGAGTGGGATACAATTTAATAAGCATTGCTAATAGAAGTACCTGTTAACCAAAGAACATCTCAGCCCACAGATAAAACTGATTTCAGACTCTCCATTCATGTGTTTACATAGGGTCCCATTCTAAAGTTCAGGCTGGCCTCAAACTCATTGTGATTCTCCTGCCTCAACCTCCTGAATGCCTGGGCATTCATTATGGGCATATACCAACACGCTAAGCCCATTCACTTTAGAAATTAAAATTGTCCCCCATTCACTTAACTGGTTTGGGTACACTGCCGTGTGTCAATAATTCAGAGTTACCTCCTTATTCAAGCTAATCATGTACTTGTTACCACTCATCCTTGACTTTCTTCTGCCCATGTCTGCCACTCTGGTAAACTTCAAAAGACAGCAAAAACTATGTGTAGTTGCACACTTTGCAACCTCACACACACAAGCACCTTCACATAAACAGCACTGTCATTGCCAAAGACACTAGGCTAGCCAGGAAAGCTACCCTTCACTAAGCTAGAATGAGACATTAAAGTCCCTTGGGTATGTAAACTGGCAGTCTAAAAGTATATGCTTGGTTTACTTTAGGTTGGACAGATCTTGGGTTTTTAAACCATAGACTTCCTGTGAAATCTTTTAAAAGAGGGAAATGCTTCTAAAAGTGTCTTTCGACGTTGGCTCTTTTGTATTTGTGACACAGTATGGGTAACACCTCAGGTCAAGTATAAAGATGGAACCAGAACTGACAAAACAGTTTCTAAGGGAAAAAAATTCAAACAGCCATGAGTAGAAGAGGGCATTGATTATGAAACAGTAAGACCCAAGAATTTAAACAGGACCATTTGGAATGACTTGGACATTAGAAGCCCCAAATACTACTGAACATCCTATACCGGCAGAGGCAGCCTTCTCTACCTGATAACGCAGATGCTATCTTGCTTGAAGATACTATGATGACATCTTCCCATCCCTCATTGCCCCAGATGTATAAATAATCTTTTTTAAAATGCAAGATTTTGTTAATTGATAGATGGAAACTTTGAGATCACATGGTAAAAGAGTCTAAGGACACTTAAGCCTGAAAGAAACGGGACTGTAGTTTAACTCAGGCTGAATTTAGATACCCACCAGACAATGCCTACTCAAGCTGTTGGAGACAGTTGTAAATTATCTGTTCAACTGCCAGATTTAAACCTGATTCAAATATGTCTAAAACTAAACAAAGTTGAGATACCAGAAATTCCTTGATGAAATGTGGAGAAAGGAATCCAACAACTGAGAACAAAGAGGCTACTGTTAATTTATTATTTACAACTTCCTCAACAATCCCCCAGCAGGTCCCGGGGATAGTCTCTTTACCGTGGCTTTGAGAAATATACTGTATATGAGAGACCAGCACACTTGAGAAGCGCTATAGTAAATGTCCTGCATAAGCTGGAGAAAAGTTTAGCGGTCTTCCTGTTGCAGTGGTGACAGTGAGAACTCAGGATGCCAACCACATTGAGCTCTGAGAATAAGATGAGCATCATGATTTGTAGTAAGCATGCTTAGAGTCATAAATAGAATGGTTAGGCCAACATGGATCTGAAGTGAATGACTGATCATGAAGTTTTAAGGCCAAACTATATGGGCAGCCAGCTAAGCTCAAACTAGATCTGTGTAACTATGTTTTTTTTTTTTTAATCCTTGGTTTGGAGAGCAGGTGTCTGAGTCTCCATACAGACACTGTCTCTTGAGGAGTTCTGAAGACGGCAGTTTGATAGATAGCAGGGTAGGAGAGCCTCTCTGAGAAAAACAACTCAGATGCTAGAATTTAACAACATGGAGGGGACCAGATGAAAGGAGAGGGATTCTCTTGACCCAGGAAGAAACTGAGAAGAGAGAGAAAGAAAGGAAGGAAAAACGCGGATGAGAGGCTGGAGCCAGACATACTCACTGGGATCGGCCCTGCACTGTGCTGGGCACGCTGTGGAGTTGGACAATTTATGGTCGCACTGAAGCCACGGCCTCCAAAATCGGGAGATGGTGAGTCCAGGACCCTTGGCAGGAGGACACAGTCAAGGTGGAGAACTGCATTGATTCACGGTGAGTGCTGGAAATTGGGTCCTGTGGCGGGTGGGGCCGGCTGGAGGACACATTGGAGTTGGGCAGAACAAGGCTGGAACCCATAACCGCAGTGGCGTAAGTCAGCACCCCTGGCCCAGAGAGGACTGAGAGAATCTGCTTGGGCCAGATCTCACCCCTGGTGGGGACCCAATAGCCAGGGACAAAACTGTCCCAAACCTGTGACGTCTGCACAGCACAGGCCAACGTGCTGAAGGCACTCACTGGTTGACTGGCTCACAGGAGAGGGGCCAGCCCACATCATCCCTGTGTACACCTCAGATAACAGCAAACTGGAGAGGGCAGCAAGCCCTCAGCCAGCACGCTTCAGAAAAACTATAGGCAATACGGAAAGGGCCTGAGACCTCCACCACACACCTGTCTGAAAGAAACCAGAAACATGACAAGAGAAAGAAATAAGAAAAAGCCTCCAGCAGCTGACCCTGGGAAAATAAGTCCTGGAGAGGTAAATACAGAAGAGAACCAGTGCAGCAATCATGCAATATTGGCCACAACATCAGCAGACATAAAGAAATACCTTCATGACCTCATAGACGAACTTAAAACTGAAGTTCTAATCCAAGTGAGGCAAGATTTTATAAAAAGATTAATAAAAGAAATGCTAAGCCCCTCTCAAGAAGACACAGAAGGAAGAATGGAGGAACCCAGAAAAAGAAGAGAAACCTCTGGTGAAGAATATAAACAAAATCTAGAATACATGAAACAGATCCAAAGAGATTACCAAGAAATTGAAAACTGGCAAAATGCCTTGACAGAAACTAAAGTTAGACTTTCAAAATTTGAAAATAGATTTGCAATGTGTGATCATGAAAGAAAAGACCTCTTAAAAATAACAAGGAATCAGGAAGTAACAATACAAAGGCTAGAAGACGACAAGAGGATTTATAACTTAAGAATAAAAAATGTGAGCGAAAAAGCAGCAGTAACCACAAATGAATTACAAAGGCTATGCACAGAAATAATTAAGGAAAACTTCCCAAGCATAGTAAAAGAAATGATATCCAGATAAATGAGGCATACAGAATTCCAATCAACTACAACCAAAACAGATCTATACCCAGACATATAATAATCAAGATCCCAGAAATTCATCACAAGAACAGAATATTAAAAGCAGTCAGAGAAAAGAAGCAGATCACCTATAAAGGAAAATCATCAAAATAATGACAGACTTCTCAACACGAACTATCAAATCAAGAAGTGTCTGGAGTGAAGTAGTCCAAGCCCTGAAACAAAATAACCTCCAACCCAGATTGATGTACTCTGAAAAACTCTCTCTCAAAATTAACGGAGAAACAAGATGTTTCCAAGACAAGGAGGAACTGTGGGAGTTCGTGGCTGCCAATCCAGCCCTACAAAAAATACTGAAGGACATTCTAGAGAGAGATAGAAAAAAATACCAGGATTCCAACAACAGTTGCAGAGAGGCCTCAATGAATGGGGCAGACAGTGGAATAAAGGAAAAAAGTGGACAAATAATAGCAGAAAAATAGAAGAGCAGAGATGAAGCAGAGAAGGTTGGCTATAATCTCTAATATAGATGGCTTTTGATACACTAACAAAAAGAAACATAGGCCGAGTAGATTAGGAGATAGGATCCATCAAGATGCTCTGAATAGGAAATATACTCAGCCTGAAAGAGGGTTAATAAACTGAAAGTCAAAGATGAGAAAACGATGCTCTATGTGACAGGGGACCAGAGAGAAATAGGGACAACTCGTCCATCAGCTGCATATAGGTTGGAAAGTCATAACACTTTTGTGCAGTGGAGAACTACTGAGCTATAAGGAAAGAAAACCTTTAGGCTTTAGTAAGTAAAGGAATACAGCTCAAGATCAAGCCCAGGGGTAAAAAGGTTCAACACCACTTAGATAGATAAAGGGTTAGTGGGACTCAAAATATACAAAGGGAAAGGGGAGGAACTGCCTTAAAAAGGAAGACAGAGGACATTGTTAATAGTGTATTAGGATTTAAAAGCCACATTAGTCTTATTGCTCTGTTTAGTTTGATTTTATTTTGTTCCGATCTGTCTACTCATACTAGATTTGAAGGCACAGATAGCAATCCCCAAAATAGCAGGATATACTATGGTAAATATCCTTAGTTCCCTACTAACTTAAACTGAAGCCCTGTATTACTTACAGTGTCTTACTATGACTGATCTTATTTGAAGCTGGTTTGTTAGACCACTGTTTTGTCTTGATTGATTTTATTCGAATTTGGTATGCTTGATAGTATCAAGCCTAAGAGCAGAGGCAACTACTCTGAAGATGACAAGATGTAATAAGATACCCATTCCGGTTTGATTATTAACTGCTTTTGAAGTCCTACAATGTCTCCAATGTTGTGTTTTTATTAAAATTGCTATGTAATGCTATGTTCAGTTATATTATATCTGATGATGTAGACAAT